CACACACACCTATAAATGCATCTTAGATGCATAGTCCTAGGTGAGTGTGTCTCCCCCTACTGAATATACCAAAACCCCAGAGAAACACTCTGTTTAATCTGGGGACAGAGAAGAATAAACTCAGTAATTTCAAAATATTTTTTCCAAGATACTAACAATCTTCTTGTAAGCACTTCTCACAAACTTCAGAGTTACATATGCAGTTATTTTCTTTTCCCCTTGGAAACATCAATACCCAGAGAATCTCAAGAGTTGTAACCCAAAATATCCTGATTCCTGCCGCTGGTCCCCATCCTGGCTCTCCTGCCTGTTGCGGTTTCCCAACATTTGAAAATACAGAACTGATTAATTATGAATGCTGTGGCTTGTCTGACCCACATCTCACCTTACACTTTTGCTCCCTTGGAATTCCATTCCATAGCCAGAGGAATATCAGTTTCAGAAAATAAGGTTTCCCTGATATCCAACCTGAAGTTTCCTTCTGAAAATCTCATCCTATTACCTCTGTGGGCCACACTAAATAACTCTTCTTCTTCACTGCCACTTTCCCTCCTCAGAGATTTGTAGATTGTTACCATGGCTTTCCCTTCATCACCACTTAGCCCAGCCATATATATTTAATTCTTTTCATCTTTCATCATAAATCAGTCCCTTCCACTCTTAAATCAGCTCTCTGCTCTTCTCTGGACTAGTTCCAACCCTCCCAATTCACCTCCAATAACCGATATCCCTTCTGGGAGCTCCAGTTTCTCCTCTTTATCTTCCTTCTCTCTCTTTGCCCTTTCCAGAAATGAAATGGGAAGGGACTGACAGTTATGTGAGGTCAAGGGTCAAGGGGTGTTGCATTGCATACACCTACTCTAAATTGCTTAGGCCTCTCCGTGGTACATATAAAGTCCCAAATCATATATCCCCTTTCTTGGAGTGGGAAGGAGGGTATTAACAGGGAAACAGGCCCTCTTACCCCACAGGTCATTATCCTCTAGGCCTCTGCATGGAGGATGGCAGAAGCAAGATGTCAAAACATCTACAAAACAGGTTACAAAGTGGAGCTATGGGCAATGTGGTAGCCTCCAGGCAGACAACTTTTTTGTGGTTTGGGCTGTCCCAAGATAGTGCACACCATTTGTACAGTCCCAGAAGCTGTCTCTCTACCTCTTTTCCATGAATGGGTGCTCTGGCGAACTGCTTCAGACTTCGAAATGTCGATCCCATTTATGAATTCAAAACAGCCCACAAAGAAAAGACATTAGCATGTCATGCATTATAAGGCCTCTTAGACATTCTTTTGTTCTGTCAGATAGCCCAAACTGCAAATGATATGAAGGCATTGCTTTGTCCTGACTAGGTGCCTTCCATTTTTTACCACATTCTTAGCCATGGTCCTGCTCTGGTTTGGTACCCTGTCTTTAGTCTGAGATAAATGGACTGCCCCAGGCCCCTCAACACAAGGGGTGGAAGAAGACCCATCCTCTCCGCTTCCCTCCCCACAGATAGTCCCATCAGCAAGATTACGCCCCTCTAGACCAGACCACTAGTTACTTGGGCAGAAGCAGGGAGAAATTTACCGAGTTGTGCCTATTTTCCTTTGCTTAATTGAAGATCCTATGTCACAGAGCAGGTAAATGCCTTTTCTATAAATCAGAGCCTATATAAAAAGAAGAAACCCATTTCCTCAAACATGATAAACAGTAAAATCAATCCAAGTGTGAGAACCTAAGCTTCAATTTTCATACAAGAAAATGAATGAAACCACAATAGTATATGCTGCCCCAAACATGAAACATGATATGGAAGGGTGTGTCTACTCCCTCCACAGGGAATCTTAAGTGGAGACTGTATCTAAATGAGGTTGGGGAGGCAGTGGTAAAGCGAGAAGCTAGGCCTCTAGTCCTGCATGGCCGGCTGCCTAACTGCAGACAGCATATGTCTCAGAGCAAGAGTCCAGCCTGTTCCAAGTGTGGTCACCACAAGGCCTGAAGTGCTTTTCAGTTAAGCTGTCTGTCTCTCTGGAGGTCATGGGGACCTCATCCAGTTACACTTAGTGTCTTATTTGATCCCATCAATAAACATTTGATCCCAATCCTGATGAAAAATGCTTGGCCAAAATTTCTAGCCTTTTAATAGCAGAATCCTGGCTCTTTCTAAAACCACCATTGCTAGATGTATCGAATGATGCATAAGGGCTTGGTCCAGCTGCCAAACGGACTGTGTTGCTGACGGAGGACTTGGGATGCTCATTGTGCTTCCCTACTGCCAGTAGCAGAGCAGCTCCTGGAGCACACTAATCTCTACATGAAACTCCCTCACTCGGCAGCTTCAACTCCCTATCTAACGCTTGACTGGAGTATATTCTTCAAAAGCATTAAGCGTGTGACTCTTCACAGGCAACACTGATAATTTCAAGCAACCTGCCTGTTTATAGTAGGTAAGTTCAGGGCTGTAGAAAGGGCCCTTTTTGCCTATCATCAACATCTACACTGCTAGAGCCTATGGTCATTTAACAAGAAATGATGGGAAGGTTCCAGAGATGCTCAGAGACATGAAAGTGGAAGAAAATCTGCATTCCCAGAGAAATAATTTTTATATCCATTACAAAAACATTAAGCACTAAAAGAGAACGTAGCATGTATAAACCACAGAAGCCAAGACAACATTAAAGCACAGCTGTTCTTTACAAAAGTATCTGTAGTGTATGGAGGTTCCTTAAAAAACTAAAAATAGAACTACCATATGACCCAGCAATCCCACTACTGGGCATATACCCTGAGAAAACCATAATTCAAAAAGTCACATGCACCCCAGTGTTCACTGCAGTACTATTTACAGTAGCCAGGACATGCAAGCAACCTTAGTGTCCACCGACAGACGAATGGTAAAGAAGATATGACACATATATACAATGGAATATTACTCAGCCATAAAAAGAAATGAAATTGAGTTACTTGTAGTGAGGTGGATGGACCTAGAGACTGTCATACAGAGTGTAGTAAGTCAAAAAGAGAAAAATATCGTATGCTAACACATATATATGGAATCTAATATATATATATATATATGGTTCTGAAGAACCTAGGGGCAGGACAGGAATAAAGATGCAGATGTAGAGAATGGACTTGAGGACATGGGGAGGGGGAAGGGTAAGCTGGGACGAAGTGAGAGTGTGGCATGGACATATATACACTACCACATGTAAAACAGATAGCTAGTGGGAAGCAGCTGCATAGCACAGGGAGATCAGCTCGGTGCTTTGTGAACACCTAGAGGGGTGGGATAGGGAGAGAGGGTGGGAGACGCAAGAGGGAGGAGATATGGGGATATATGTATATGTATAGCTGATTCACTTTGTTATAAAGCAGAAACTAACACACCATTGTAAAGCTGTTATACTCCAATAAAGATGTTTAAAAATATATAAATAAATTAGTTCCAAAAAAATAAAATTATCTGTAGTGAGACAACAGTATTGGCCTACTATCTCAGTTCACAGAAGGCACTGTCAAATTCATCAGACCCTGTCTCTTACCATGAGCTAGTGTAAATTCCAAAACTGAACACAAAGGAGTCATTTTAGGTGCCAATGCCACTAATGCTAATGCTGAAATATGCATCCAGACTCTGTTTTCCATGCGGACCACATACCAGTATGCCTTCTCTGCAATGACTGAGAAACCTCAGCTTCTGAATATCCCTGCTGCATTAGACTATTGGGTATATGTGGGAGCATGTGTGTGTGTTGGGACAAGCATGGGAGATACTTGTAGCTCTACAATGGGCTTTTTTTCAATGCTTTCCATCCAATGAATACAAGACATTAGTAACCAGTGGAGCATAAGAATTTCATTTATTTCTGACAAAAAAAATGACAGAAAAGATGCTGGGTTTTGCCCAATGAAATTAGTGTAGGCTTTTAAAAGTCATGCTTTCTTTTCTATGCTTTCTCATTCACTTACATTGTGTATTTTATTGACAAGCCTTTCCCCAATGGTCTTACAAGAGAAACATCCATTCAAAGCCACCTGGTTTTCCCAGTCAATGGATATTATGGGAGGAGGTAGAAGTAAGTGTCTGAATAAACACCCCCAACTCAGTGAATATGGGAAGAAAATGAGAATAAATGAAACAGAAACCCCGTTTCAGGAGTCTCCAGCAGAGAGATCTGCAGTGAAACAGGCCTGCCAGAGACTGTCATCCAGATCTGTTGCTGCAGATATTCAAGCTAAGAATTGGAGAGAAGGAACTGGGGACAGGGAAAGACAGGGAAATCAACTACTGTCTCTTCCTGGCTTCAGAGTGATTCCCCAAAGGAAACAATCTTGGCAACTTTGCTCCCTCTCTCCACAGCTCCCTCCTGTCCCCTGTCCCTTAGTTCCTCTAGGGCTCTCCCAACACATCTGAGAGGAAGAACAAGAGTCTGTGAGTGGATAGCAGCCTGGGGTTAGGTGGAGAGCAGAATGAATTAATGAAGAAGAGGCAATTTCTAGGTAAGCCAACATTTGGATGGGATAGCTGGGTGGGATTCAGTAATATGAAAAGGAGTTCTATATTCCATGAGAAAGTGTATCACATTTCCAAAATCTGTGGAGGCCAGGAAGAGGAACAAAGCGAAAAGAAGAAGGGCAACAGTTTTGAGATCTAGAACCAAGCTCTCAGAACACAGACTAGAGGGATTTCAACTGTCCCAGGAGCCCCAGAAGAAGGGCATCCAATCTTGGCTGAGACCCTGTGTAAAGTCAGTAGAAAGAGTTATTCTTCCAAGAACAGGAAACTTTTTTCCCAACTTGGTTGCTGGGGAGGAAAGGAGAGTCCCTTGGGGAGTGACTGCGTTCAGGGAGAAAATAAGAAAATACAGTCTAACTGGGGAAGGAGGTTTGTGGAAGGAGGAAAGAAAGCTAAGAACCGCAGGCTGAGGTTTTGGAAACGAGGGTTAGTTGATAGTGGTTGCAAATTGATGCCTGTAAGAAACCAAATCCCGAAACGCTCGGGCGGGAGCTGCTCACCGGTCCCGGTCGCGAAGATCTGGAAGAGAAGGCGGGGCTGGGAGGCGCGGATCGCAGCGGACAGCCTTCCCTCTCTGCCCACTTCCGACGCCTTCTTCTCGGGCATCAGGCGGATCCTCAGCCGTCCTTCGCCGTGGCGAATCCACCAGCTGAACAGCTCAGTGAGGTTGAACTGGAGCAGCCCCGCAGTCGCCTCCCCTGGGGGCCCTACACAGCCCTCAAGGATCGCCTCCTCTCCCAGCTCCAGCACCAGCTGCTTGGCGCGCCGGAGCTTGCGAACCGAGCCTCCCTTCAGCACCCTGGACAGCGTCCATGCCCGGGCCGGGGCGGGAGAACTGGCGCCGGGTGGTGGCCCCACCAGCCTAAGCAGTGGGGCGCAGTCAAGAGCCAGCGAGCCGCGCGCCTCCAGCCGGCCGGCCCTTGGCTCCGAAGGGGACGGCGGCGGCAGCAGCAGGTCCCGAGCATAGACGCGAAAGAGAGAGGGTACCACAAAGTCCACCGCCAGGCTCTTCCTCTGCAGGCGCGAGTAGCTGAGCGGCTCCCGGGGCTGCAGCGCCGACCCCATGGCTGGTGAGCCCACGCGCTGGCCGGTCTCGGTCCCGGTCCCGGAGCCTGAGGCTGCCGGTGAAAGCAGCAGCAGCAGCCACAGAAGCCCTATGGCTCCCATCCCGCCAAATGGGGGGTTGTTTATACTAGTCTCCCGAGTCTCCGGGATCCAGCCTCGCCCTCCGCTCCCCCCACCCCCCCCCAAATGGGAAAGGGCTCCGAACAGTCGTTGGTCCTGAAGGGCTCCTTCCACCTGATCTCAGGGGGATTGTGCGTGCACTCGATTCCCTCTCCTCCAACTGCAAGGAGGCGAGCAGGAATCTCAACAAAACGCTGCTGGAGGCTCAGGGGCGTGTCAAGAGACCCTGAAGCGCGAAGGTTTCGGCAGCTGGGACCCTGTGCCTCTCGCGCGCCGCGCGGAATGTCGCGCCCGCGTCCGTAGCTCCCCGCGCTCTGGAACGAGAGACTACTATGGTTGAAGGGAGATGGCAATTGGATACCGTCCTCTCCTGCCCGCCGCGGCCTGAGCTGTGGTGTGTCCGCTCTCGAGCGGCCTCCAATCCTCTGCAACTTTCCTGCTGGGAACGGTGGCTTAGAGCTGTTGTCTGCTGTCCTGGCCGCCTCCTGAGCTGCTTTCGGCCCTTCTGAGCTCCTTTTCCTCGTCTGGTGGGGGGGAAAAGGGGGGGTGACCGAGGGCACCGGCTTCCTTCTCTCGCACCCTCCTTCGACCCTCCGCAGCGGGAGGTCTTCGGACTGCACTTCTCGCTGAACTTCTGGACCTGAGTCGAGCCCCCGCCGCTCAAGTTTTCAGCGTCCTTGCTCTCCTCCGGCGTCTCAAGAGTTCCCAGGCACCAGAGCGGCCCTGGCGGCAGCAGCGGAGTGAAAGCATTCAGGGCCCGAGAGCCCGAAATCTTGCTGCCCCCTCCTCACTCACCAGCAGCTCCCGCGTCTTTTGTGGCTGGCCAGAGCGCGGCCGGAAGTCGCCTCTGTGCTCCGCGACCCTCCGGACCGCTGCAGCGGGGGTGCCAGCTGCTACCACCGCTGCCGCCCCCGGAGCCGCTCTATCGCAGCTGCCTGGGCGTCCGCCACTTACAGCTGGAGGAGCAGAGAGCGCGAGCCCGGAGCTGGCCGGGCCGAGGCGGGGGCGGGGCTCGAATGCCAACTCCTCTCCGCAGCTGGGCCCACTCAGCCCCGCCCGCCCCGCTCGCACCCGCCAGCCAATGGCGCGGCGAGGTCGGCTTCCTATGCAAATGTGCAGAGGCCTCGGCTTTCATTGAGAAAAGCACAGAGCCCGCCCCGCCCTCCATCCATCCCTCCTCCCTCTCTCCCTCCTTCCCCTCCTCCAGATTCCCTGCCCTATTTCGCTGCTGTGTGAACAGGGGCGTGTTTGGGATGAATGGTAGGACTGGAAGAGGGCTTTGTAATCAAGCATTCTCTCTAATTTTGCATTTAAGAGAGTAAACGGGTCCGACTTCGGAAAAGCAGTTCTGGAATAAAACTGGAGGCCAGGGGAAGGGAGGGGGGGAGGGGCAGCGCGACACTGCCAACTCGGAGCTTGGATTAGAGCCCTGAGACATAATCTCTGACCCTTCCATTATTTGAACGCATTCCTGGGAACCTAACGATCCCACCATCCAAACAGGAAAAAATGGCGGGGGGGGAGGGGAGGTATTGGGGGGAGGGCGGGAAGCGGCTGGCAATCTCACAGAGTTGCGATTCAGCTACAACAAATATTTCAGACCTCAGTCACCCCGCGTTTTCTCAGAATGGTGCTTAAATATGTGTCACCTCCTTTACTCTCTGCAAGGTAAATTTTTTTTTTTTTTTTTTTCGGTACGCGGGCCTCTCACTGCTGTGGCCTCTCCCGTTGCGGAGCACAGGCTCCGGACGCACAGGCTCAGCGGCCATGGGTCACGGGCCCAGCCGCTCCGCGGCATGTGGGATCTTTCCAGACCGGGGCACGAACCCATGTCCCCTGCATCGGCAAGCGGACTCCCAACCACTGCGCCACCAGAGAAGCCCAAGGTAAATATTTTAAACTCTAGTTTTAGAGGTAAGGAAACTGAGTCGCAGAGATCTTAACTGATTTTCCTAGGGTCACATAGTCCTACTTGCCTCTCAACCTCTTACTCAAGTGCTCTTAACCACTGCTCTCCCATACCCTTCCATGGGTAACAGGCTAAGAACATCTAGGAATGACTTAGCTAGAAGGAATAATGATCTGGCATTCCTGTTCACAGCCTTGGGAGTGAGAGTTCAGAACTGCAGGCCATTTTTATTCACCTGTGAAGTCAGGGCTCTATCTCCAGTCTCTCCCTTCATCTCTTCTGAGCTTCTATCACAGAACCTGGATAATGGCTGTGTTTATAACAAGTGGTTCACTAGAATCGTAGACAAAACTACAATCCTTGGTGCACAGAGTGGAGTTGAATCTCCCTCACTGAGCAACAAAGCAAGACCTGATCCAGAGAAGAAATGATGCTCCTACCTTGGTGGCGGAAGGGAAGGAGGGAGAAAAAGAAAGAGGAAGGAAAAGGTATGGAGGTTAATAATTTCCTAGTATGTGAGCAAATATGTTTGGCTTTTCATCATATTTCACTGGCATGCACACTAGTGAAAGAATAATTTTCTATTTGAAATATTAAAAAGACTAAAACGCAGGTCCTTTCACTCCCCACTCCAGTCCTTTTTTCTCTATATAATTCTTGTCAAACTGACTCCAGAAATTTGTCAATAACTATGAATCAGTTACAATCAATGGCCAGTAGGGGGCTGCAGAGACTTTCAACTTAAGACACCCGCCAGGGTTTAACATTTTCCCAGATAATCACCAGGACCACTGCCTTCGCACCTAGTGAACACAAGGGTCTCAATTCTCATGCTTTTATAAATTTTCTCAAATTTCCCTATAGAGAGAAGTGCCTCTCTATATAGATTAAATCACACTGAATCTCAAAAATGTTCTCTTTTTGTTAGATAATTTAGAAAAAGTAAGAAATGAATATTGATAGAGACTATTGGTTACTATACATATGCATCTGTAAGAGTGTGTGTGTGTGTGTGTTTGTGTGTGTGTGTATCACATCACATAGTGGCCTTTTGGGGAAAGATATATATTACTGTTTCCATTATAGAGACAAAACACCTCAGGCTCAGAGACGCAAAATAATTTGCCCAAGGTCAAACAGCAAGTAAATAGAGCTGGAATTCAAACCAGTGATTCTTTTCCTCCAAAATTTACACATCTCACTGAGACAAATTTGGCCTCTTCCTCATGCCTACAGCTATAATTTTGACACTTCTATATCATTGCTATCTAAGCATGGGAGATGGAAAAGAGCAGTTAAGAGCAAATGGAGAAGATAGAGACAGAAAGATTAAAAGTGTGAGCAGAAGTGATAACTAACATGTCTTGTGCACATATTATGGACCAGCATATTTCAAAATAATTTTCATGTATTATCTGATTTAAGAGTCACACTAACACTATGAGGGGAAGTAACAGTATCTCTATTTTACAGATCACAAATGGAAGCTCAGAGGGGTAACTTCCCAACAACAGACTACACAGGTAACAGGATTTATTACAGAATTGGAACCTGGATACCTAAGAAGTCCATGTTCTCAAATCCTGGTGACCTCACAAGACAGAAAGTGGAGTGTGGGAGAACAGACTGAAATGGGTAGAGGTGAACAAGGAAGAAACTGAAAGCCCAACTCAAAAAAGAGAGATATAGGGAGTGGGAGTAGCAGGGAGAGCAGACAGGAGATACTGGAAGCCATGAAGACACAGTTAATGAGGTGGGCTGCTCTGGGTCACCTTGTTGATAACTTGGGAAAGGAAAGGGCCAAGAAGGACACTGAAAGCACCAAGACCCTCCTCAGGAAATTCCCAGTTTCTGGTAATAGTCAAGTGGACAACTCAGATAAGGAGGTGTTTGAATTCTCTATAAGAAGAGCAGTAATAAAAACAGCATTTCAAATCCAGGTAGTGTGATTTAAGGCAAAACACACATCAGAACTGTAAAATCTGACTGAGATCTACAGGGTTAAGTCAGGCATTCAGTTGGTCAAAAAGAAGGAGGAGGAGGACAAAGGAGAAAGGGAGAGAGAGGAAAAGAGGAGGAGAAGCAAGAGAAGGAAAAGAAGGTAGGAGAAAAATCAATAAGATGAGCTGAAGCTAGACATTAGAAGATACTTATTGCTAAGACATTTGGAAACTCACAAACAGAGTAGCTTACCCTGGAACAAGAGCAGGAAATGTGACCTAGAAGAAACATTCAAATGAACTGTGGATTTGTGTTCAGGAAACAAGATTTTAATCACAACCTTCCTTCTCAGAGGCTCTATGGATCTTGGGAAAATCCTTGATTTCTCTTGGTTCATACATCAAATTAGAAGAAGAACCAGGTATAGTTTTAAGACACTGTCCACTCTGAATTCTGTGTGAGATTCTACAAGTGGCCAAAAGGTCTTATCCAAGACAAAGGACCACAGCTGACAGCTACTAGAAGGAGACTACGAACTTCCAAGGAAACCAGAAAAAGAGTTTGAACCTAATGCTAAAAACAGGAAAAATAAAACAAAGATTTCTTTTTAAAAATGTGTCTGTACTAGTAGACAGACTTGAGCTCTGAATCTACAGCCTGCAATTGCTGGCCAGTCATACATAAGATACCTTCTAATAATCATCATGCTAAGAGGAAAGTAGCTAGAGTTGTTAATTCAACCATTATTTATTAAGCACCTACTATTTGCTTGGCTTTACATGAGGTGCCAAGGAGAGATACTGTGATGAATCTGAAAACAGACAAGGTTTCTACTAGCATGAGGTCTTGATAAAATTAAATGAGAAAATCCGGAATACAAAATTGAATTCATGTCTATGCTATAACTAAGCAAAAATTATAAATACAAAAACAAAAAACTGGAGGAAAACACTGATAAATAGGCTTACTGGGGGTGGCAAATTATGGGTGATTTTTTTTCCTTTTACAAATAACTTTTAATAGTTTTGTATAATAAATAATAATAGAATTTGATTCCCATGAAGAAAGTATATCAGTCAGGATAGCTAGGTTATGCTGTAATAACAACAAAA